GTCTTGTCACTCACGACCCTCTCTGTCAGTCCTGATGCCATCATTTTCTGTAATGTCTTCTCCTTGCTCTGGGCCTGCCGGGCCAGCTTGGCACTGCCATGACCAAACCTAGCAAGGTAGTTCTTCATGTGTGCAATCTGATCTTGCTCCCAGTGAAACCTTTTCATCTGGTTCTCCTCCAGTTCCAGCCGTGTCTTCACATACTGATTGTAATTACCCGTATAATACTTCAGTTTCTTGTTGTGCATGTGAATGACGTTGGTACAGATACCATTCAGAAAATCCTGGGAATGGGAGACGAGGACCAGGATGCACTTAAAAGTTTTTAGTTCTTCTTCCAACCACACACAAGCATCTAGGTCCAGGTGATTGGTGGGCTCATCCAGGAGCAGCATGAAAGGCCGAATAAAGACGGCTCTGGCGAGGGCAACTGGCATCCTCCAGCCCCCACTGAAGTCTTTTAATTTCTTGCACTGCATGGCAGGTGTGAAACCCAGTCCATGTAAGATCCATGAGGCCCTCATCTCCGCCTTGTCAGCATCCAGTTCCTCCAGGCACTTACAGAGCTCCATGAGCTTCTCACACTCTGCATCCTCATGAGCCAGCAGCTCAGCCTCCCTCTCCAGCATAGCCTGCTCTGTGTCAATTTCCATCACAAACACTGCAAGGGAATCTTGTCACTAGGGGGCATCTCTCGAGTCAGATGGTATATGTCAATATGCTCAGGGATGGGTACTTCATGTTTCCCATTAAGCAGAGAGCAGCATGGACTTGCCAATTCCATTTAAGCCAGTGAGGCCATAATGACGGCCTGAGTTTAATTCCAGTTTGGTGTCACTAAGCGGTTCTTGACCATGAAAGGTAAGTGAGAAGTTGATAATGTGGACATCAGTACTGTTGAGGTGAGAGGCAAGGACACCAGTGACAGCTTGAGCAGCAGCTTGTTTCATCTCAAAGTCCTCTAGCTCCTTGGTCAGCCGGTCCACTTCTGTGGTCTCTCTGCCATTGGCCTCATTTTTTTCTTCTGCCACCTGTGGTTTTGTTACTGCATCTCTGTTTTCTTTCATGTCCCTTTCTGGGCCACTGTCGAGCTTTGGCAGCTTCCTTCTTTTTGGCTGCCTTCTTGGCCAGGTCAGAGGGCATGGTGATGAACCACAGCTCCCTCTTCTTTCAGGGAGTTGGGCCTCACCGCTTGGCCTCTCAAGTGTTTCAATTTTGTTAGAATCTATCGCTAGAGTTACTGTGATCCTTTGGAGGTATCTAAACACTCGTTTTTCATACTTCCTGAATTGTTGCACTGGTTCCTTCTCATCTGGAGAAACTGTCCCTGATTATTTGTGAACTTACTTTCTTTTAGATGGGATTTTTTTTCCTTGAGGATGTGACTGTAATGTATATTATGAAGTCATTTGGCTCTGCTTATGGGTATATTCTGTGGGAAAGACTCTGTATGAATTCCTTTGTTGTAGCCTTATTGTGGTAGCTTTCTCAAATCTGGATATAGTGGCAATGTCGGATATGTGAGCAGGCTCAGGGCCTCCTGAGGGATCCACAGAGAATTCAAGAAACTTATTTCTTTCCTGACTCTGGGCATTTATATTAGCAGATTTTCTATTGGTTGAGGCAGTTTGACCTCCTTCAGTAGGTGGCATTTGCAAGTATGAGCCAGGTGTGGCAGTGAAAGTCAGATATAAGCTCTGTCTTTGTTTACTGGGAGAAGCTCTCAGTTGCTGCAGATAGTGGGCTGCTGTATGGAATGCACAGTTGCCTGAGCTCTTTGCACAGCCCTGGAAAGGGTGATGAAGCTATGCGGTCACCTAGTAGCAAGCACAAACATAAGCACTAGCACCAACCAAACAAGGGTGATGGAAAAACTCCTGGTGAAATGTACCATGGTCTCAGTGTGGGTTTGGAGAGCTGCCTTAGCACCACAGCCTCAGCAGAAAGAATGCAGTTCTTTTCCCTGCCATACCTCATCCTGTCATTCATGAAGCTCAGTTCAGGCAGACACTTCTCTCTATCTCTAGGCTGCAGTGTAGCCAAAAGTCATGAAAATACCTGCCCTATGGCTACCTGCCAAAATGGTTGTGCTACAAAGCCTCTTCCCTTCCTGGATCTCTTGCTATGTGGATATCCTGCTCTATTCTCCCTGGATATCCTGCTGTCTGCTACAGGGACATTGCCACTCTGTGTAGACAGGGAGAAGGTTCCACCTTTCATGCTAGCCTGCCCTTAGTGACTATACTGACATTGCGGACTCAGTCACTCCTAGTACTCCAGAAAGATCATCCTTTGGTGAACCCATGCTAACTTTAAGTGAAAGCCAGTGGAGTGGAATTACACTCCTCCCCTGCAGAGCCAAGAACAGCCTTTGTGTCTCTGCTGGATTTAAGGCTGAAACTCCATGCCCACAAGCCAGGGAGCCCTCTGACTGTGGAAAATACAGACTCAGAACAACATATTTTCTGGTTTCCTTGGTTTCAATGATAGCTCTCTAGAGTGCTACACTCTTCCTTTTTCCTTAGGACCAACACTCCAGAGGGCTAGACCACTGGAACTCTGTAGCTCTCCTAGGTCCATAGTAGCCTGTATGGCTACCATCCAACTGGGCACTAGGGAATATCAGTGATGTTCCCATGATGCAAAGACACAAGACCTAAGTGTCTCTATCACCTGTGATCTGAATATGGTGACCTGCCATTACCAATTCAGTCTGGGGAGCAGGCAGGTGACCCAGTGCAAGTTCACAGTCTGGCACAATCACAGCCTACACCAGTGTTTTGTTTTATAAGGGTAGGGATTTTTCCAGCAGTTCAGACGCTGGCAGTCCACCCCAGGGTCAAAGGGAGTCAAAACACCCCATCTACCCTTTTTATGCAATAGTAAAGTCTCTTGCAGTTTTTACCTAATCTCTCCCAGCTTCTTGCTTCCTTCTTTTTCTGTGTCCCAGCTTCTTTCCCTGAATTCTCTACTCTGCTTCAGCACTCTCCCCTTGGTATTCTTTTTGAGTTGTGATTATGCACTTATAATTTGCTTCTTTTTTTGGTTTGTTTTGAAGAGAACTGGCATCCAGCATGTGTAGTCAGCCATCCTTGTTTCTTGATATGTACATTTCTTTTCATCCAGTAAGACTACTCCTTGGGAATTGTTTCCAGTAACAACTAGCAGTACAATAGCAATTCCATACTGTGTTTATCCAAGGATCAAAGGCTCATCGTTCTTTACTCTCTCTTTCTTCCTCTTCCCAGCCCATGTGTTTCAGTGAGTCAAGGTCTTTCTAGCAAATCCCACTTCTGACAACAGCTATAAAGAATTTTAGTCACCTACATAAATTAGCAACCTACAAATTTAGAGTACTCTATAAGACTTCCTTCACTTCTAATATTAGTTGCAAATTCAGGGGAGTCATAAAACAACCCTCATTTTTGATAATTCGCTAGGACTCACAGAACTCATGGAAAGCTGTTATAGTTATTGTTAATTACCAAGAACAAATACAGATTAATGTCAGCCAAGGGAGGTACCAGATAAGGATCTTCTATTGTGCTCTCCCTTTGGAGTCATGGATATGTTACCCTTCAGGCATTGATGTGTGGCCATGCACATGGAGTGCTGTCAGCTAGGGATGCTCACCTGAGCTTTTGATATCTAGAATTTTATTTAGAGTCAATCACATATTGCCCGTGTGGCTGACCTATAGTCTAACCCTTCCTGGAGGTCAGTCTGATTTTTTATGCCTTTAGTGTAGGGTGACCAGACAGTCCCAGTTTTTAACAATTTGTCCCATATCCGGCGGTGTTTTAAAAAAGTCCCGATTTTTGGAAAGAAGGCGTGAACGGGCGGGAGAACAGGAAGGGAATATACGGTTTTCGGCTGCCATGTGGCTATTTCGCCAGAATATGAGTTTTATATTATTTTTGTTAATTTTATAATGTTAAACTGTAATAATAACAAATAATTGTTGAGAAGTGATTATCAAGAACTGCTTATCAAAGTTTGCATTGTTGTCAGGCCCTGCCCTACCCTGCCCCACCCCCCACCCCCGGCCATGTTGTCCCGTTTTAACCAATGTTAAAATCTAGTCACCCTACTTTAGTGTTCCTTACAGAGGCAAAATTGATACTATGTTACCCAAAGTCATATGAAAAAAATCACATTGTTAGACTGCCTAATGGCAAAACAGGGGAACTAGACATTCCAATTATGCATGGCATTCTAAGGGCCTCCTAAAGATCAACTATCAGAAGCCAAGGGTAATGGCCAGACATCTCTGTGGTCAACCTTAAATTATTTGCTACATAGTCTTTAAACAGTAAGCTTTAAGTCATATAAAGAAAGGTTAAAAGATCAGGAATCTTTCCAAGTATTTTAGTTCCATCTACAGATTTTTAAGATACATCTTTGCATCTTAAGTTTTAAGGTACTATAAATGTGAAAGAGAAAAACCTCTGTCTATTCCACAAACATATCTGGACCTATTTTCTGGCTTTTAAGTTCTTGCCTGTTCTCTTTTGGTCATACATTACAGGTAATAATGAGCACCTCAGCAGCAGATGATATTGACTTTTATGCAGTGCTGTCTATAAGCTGAATTAGATTTTTACATACTCTACAATGTTGCCTCCCTGTAGTTTATGATGGTAGTCCATATAAAATATCTGATCCTCATGTAGGTTCTTAGTTCTAAAGCCCTACTCTAACTTGAAAAGTAAAAACTCTTTCCTACTTTTCCTGCCTTTCCCATAATGCTTTTTTAAACTCCAAAGTTCAGTTGAAATTTTACTTTTAAAAAATGCAGTGTGTTCTTTTAGTGCACTATAGTTCCTTATGGAAGATGCCAAAGTATATGCGATGCTAATTTCATATTTCACATTATAAAAATAATGCTTTAAATTTGATTTATTAAAGGAAATACAGATCCAAAATCACAAATCAATCACCATTTTATATGACTAGAAATGTACTTTATCTTAATTTCTTTTTCTTCCTCTTCTGTACAGGAATGCTTTCAGTTCATACTGCCAGCTCTACCTCATGCCATTGACCTTTTACGTGATGCCATTGTAAAAGTAAAGGAGGTGCATGATGAACTTGAAGATTTACCTTCCCCACCACCTCCTCTTTCCCCTCCTCCCACAACCAGCCCCCATAAACAGACAGAAGACAAAGGGGTTCAGTGTGAAGAAGAAGAAGAAGAGAAGAAAGACAGTGGTGTTGCTTCAACAGAAGATAGTTCCTCATCACATATAACTGCAGCAGCCATTGCTGCCAAGGTAAGCCTGCTGAGAGAGACTCAAGAGTTCTAAAGGACCCACAGGTAAACGTACTGAGTCATCCCATCCCATCCCTCCATTAAGTTCCATACCACTTCATGACATCCTAAAAAAAGAACAGAGATGTCTGAGATACTTCACCACTATGTTTCATTCTTGATGTGGATTTCTGTAAGTCCCTGAAGATTTTTCAGAGCTCTGAGGCATTAAGAATACACTGCTACCTACTGATAAAATAATGGCAATGATAAACAATATGGCATTTAAGAACTCTTTGGAGATGTCATTTTGTGGGCATTTTCAATCTATAATGTTTATATAATTAAAACTTGACAATTTTTTAAAAGAACAACAAACAGAAAATAAAAGATCTTATTAGATAATTCAAGAAATGAGTTGGGAAAGATTAATGAAGATTTCTGAGGCCGGGTGCAGTGGCTTACCCCTGTAATCCTAGCATTCTGGGAGGCCCAGGCCTGAGCTCGTAGGTTCTAGACCAGTCTGAGCAAGAGCAAGACCCTATCTCTAATAATAACTGGGTGGGCACCTGTAGTCCCAGCTACTTAGGAGGCTGAGGCAAGAGAATTGCTTGAGCCTAGGAGTTGGAGGTTGCTGTGAGCTATGGCACCACAGCACTCTACCCAGGGTGACAAAGTAAGACTCTGTCTCAAAAAAAAAGATGATTTCTAAAAAGACAAGGCTATCAAGCAATTGAATTTTCCTTAACGAAGCATTTAATCAAATGGTACCCAAAAAAATGTTACTTAACACAAATTATTCTAGTGGTATAGCAAGGAAATGAATATAGCTGTATTTTTATTTTACTAAAATAATAAATATTATTAGGCTAATACCAAAGAATTGCAGTTTTTTTTTTTCAGGCAATTCTAGGAGTAAATAAAGTACCATGAGGTACTGAAGTACACTTAGTCATCTTAAAGTCATAGAACATGGTTTACATTATTATCCATACGTAGAAAAATCTGTTTTATATGCTTTAATATCTTCAAAATGTATCATATCATTTTAGGAATGATGATTGTTTACTTATTGATAGCATAAAAATTAAAAACTTAATTGCTACATGAAGTAATTTAGAGCTTTATATATAGATCATCTGGATATTTTGGCTGTGAGCATAGTGATTTTTTTAAAATATATCATATAGATCAGAATCATAGAGAAATTATTTTGAAGGGTTCCTTCACTGACAATTAGATGATTCTGTCTCCAGATCTATTCAGTGATCATTAAGTACTTACTTTTAAGTATTATGTGGTTTTTTTGGAACTAATTGGTAAAATAAGGGCATTTTAAAATTATATATTCTTCTACTCTTAATTAAACAAGAAAGAAATACCATCAGTTTCAATCTTAGAGAAAATAGCCTATAGGTTTCAAAATCTTAAACTGATTTTAATCTAAAATCAGATAAATTCTAAACATGGAAATTTTTGACATTTCATTATTCCATTTATTTTCACTTTCTTTTTAGTCATTTTGCTTGTATAGTTCATGTTTTCCTGTCACTGTATTCATAGTTGTTATGTGTTGTACATTAGAAGCATCCATTCTACACCAGTCCTGCTGTTATCATGGCACATGGTGAGCAGCCCATCCCTGGTCTCATCAATTATTCCCATCATTCAACAGGCAGTACAGATGAACGGGTAAGACAAAGGCTTTTGCATTAACGATCTTGCAAACATAGATTCTGTTTCTCCTTACTTTGTTCTGATGGATCTTCAGCAATGCTTTCTTGTAAAAGTGTAAGCACCACTGATTTTATTTCACTAAAAAATTTAATACAGTTTCTCCTGTGCCTAAAGTACTGTGGTATCATTAAGATTCTATTGTTTGTGGGCTCGACACCCATAGCATAGTGGTTACAGCGTCGGCCACATATACAGAGGCTGGCATTGTTGTCTGGGCCAGCAAGGCAACAATGAGAACTGCAACAGAAAAATAGCTGAGCATTATGGTGGGCACCTGTAGTCCCAGCTACTTGGGAGGCTAAGGCAAGAGAATCTCTTAAGCCCAAGAGTTTGAAGTTGCCATGAGCTGTGACATCACCGCACTCTAGGACAACATAGTGAGACTGTCTCAAAAAAAAAAAGATTCCATTGTTTGTGGCAATGAACTTTAATCACATGGTTTAAAAGAAGTATATTGCTCAGAACTTATTTTTGTCTAAGCAGTTTTATTAGGTATTTTTAAATAAATTTCTGGACTTAATTAAGATAACCCCTTTAGAAGGTCACTGAGCCTTAAAATCTAGACAGATTGGTCAAACTAATATTTGATCTATATTAACCTTGCCTTTTTTTCCTTATAATTTTGCATATCATTGTCTTTTTCTTCCCCGTGTTTTCATTATAACCATTTATAGAGTTGAATCCTGATACAATTTTGTTGTTCCTAATCTTCAGAAACAAACTTTTAAGGATACATTATTAGTTCAGCAACTCTTTGGATGATAATTTGCAAATAGTGACAGATTGGGAAAGATTAAACTGATAAATATAACTTACTATTTATACTTAGCAATGATAATTTGGACAATGGCTATAAAAAGAAAATCAGTTTAAATCCCTATTGTGGATATGAAATGAAGTGTGGGAAGAGAAAACTAATAAAGTGAAATTTGACTGTAAGTACTTAAGAAGAAAAAAAATTCCCTAGAATTTGGTGAGGAAAAAACCAACAACATAGCATCAGCAGTCTCTTGGAGGTACACTACCAAATGAATACCTTAACCCTATATTTAACAAACCCTTCCTGGTTGGAAATAAGCTTAGGTTAGTCAAAGACCTAGTGGAAAATTTAAATCTTAGTAAAATTATTAGCAAATTAAAGTTAATGACTTGTATTTGAATTTTCCATATATAGCTTTGTTATAAATTATGAATATTCTAAACTATACCCAACTTGAAGCCTGTCTGTCTTTTGTATTCTCATCCCATAAAGCAGCCACAACAACTATACTAACCATTCTGGTTTTCAGACTAAACTAATGGAAGGTTTCCATAGTCATAGCCAAGATTTTAAGTTATATTCTGCATTTCAGATTAAAACACATTAAAAATTATTTAAATGATTTTTTAGTTCTCCCAAGAATTATACACAACTAGTACCATTCTAGATGCATAAGACTCTTATAAATGGATGTTCTCATATACTATCACCAAGGACTTTCCCATTTATTAACTATTGATTTGGGTTTTTTTTTCTGTGACACATGTTCAGTTTTATAAGTAGACTCTCATTTTTTGATTCCTTTGACAATGGTGATAAGAACAATGTATCAAAGGGTATAACACTCTTATTCTTTAGACTTGGCAATCATAAAAAAAGAATGAAAGGAGGAACTAAGTAACAGAAAATAATGAAAAGGCAAGCATTAATAATCTTTTTTTTTTT